CCAGAAGAGGCAGCCAAAGGCGCGGCCAGCTTTCATTTTTATTTATTTATGTTTTTTCTGTTGTTGTTTTCTTTTGTTTTTGTATGCGCGCGGCTTTTGTTTCACTCCACTGCCAAAAACTGTGAAAAAGTAAGCAAACGAAAGTTGAATGCGTGGCGGCGGTCAGTTGTAAATTTAAGTTTTTCTACAACAAACCAAAAACAACAAAAAATGACAGTCGGTTAATTGTTTTATTTATGAACGCCCAACTCACACGCTTTCAACGTTTCAAAATGAATTCTTAGCGGGGTTTTTGTTAGAAATAAATGTGAGCAAATCGTTTTTTGGCTTTCCTTTGAAAGTAAAAGTCATTAACATGGGAATAAACTATTAAGGGGTACGCATAAGCCATGGCTATTACAGCAGCTTGACTTTGACTCTGACTCCATGTCTCTGCAGCTTTTAGGTAATCGCTTGCCAGTCATCAACTGTCATCGCTCACTTTTCAAGACATTTTCGTTGACTGCCCAACAAGGCGTGAAGCAACCTGAACCTCTGCTGTAACTGAGCCTCTCTTGCTCCGTTTGTTGCCACTTTTTTGCGGTAATAAGCCACACTAAAAGTTCATCTGATTGATTTGTTTTTTTCTTCTTGCGGTTATAAAGACATTTCCCCTCCACATTGTTGCCTGCTTTAGTTTTCTCTTCTTGTTGCTGGCATGGAAAGCTGCTGACAAATCTGAATGCTAACTACACCCAAAGCGGATAAGAGCTCCTCTGTGGCTCCTTGGGGGCGCTCCTTGGATGCAGCTGCATTGGAGATGCTGCTGTGACCTTTTGTGCCGCCAAGAAAAGTGAAAATTCGGCACTGCCAGCAACCACAGCAGTTAGTTGACAGTTTAGAAAAGGCATTGGAAATTGTTTAGCGGCAGACGACGTGGGTTAAAAGATTGTTGCCAAGAGATTCGTTTGTTTTGCAACAGGCTTTGTTTTGGCCCACGATGCAGGCACCCAAGTGGCAGTGGCAGCCAGGAGGCAGGCAAGCCAACAAATAATTGAATGAAATGATGCGCCAAAGTTGTGGCACGAACATGAGGATGATGCTGCCGTTGTCATACAGCCAGACTTTAATTTATTTCGCACACCTGCAACACACAGAGAGGAAGACCCGACCCATCGTCTGCCCAACGCTCTGCTAATGGAGGAGAAAGACTTGAAGTTGAAGCTGCAGCCAGAGCTTCTGTTTTTCTTTTTTTTTTTTGCATATGTCTGTGGTCTCTGGCTGGGAAAGTGCCGCGTTGCGATAAATCAAATTAAGCCAATAAGTCGTCGAGTCTTGCCGCTTCTTTTCCATATTTGTGTGTACAAATGGCGGCCAATTATTTGGCCAGTTTCCCAGGCATTCGCAGAGCCCAGCAATTTGGCGTGGGTGCCTAAGAAAGTAAATGCAAAAATGGCAATGGGAATGAGCAGCTGCTGAAGATGCTGCAGCTGCATGCCATTTCTCTCCTCTCTCTCTCTCTCTCTCTCTCTCTCCGAATTCTTTGCCCACACTAATTAAAAGCTGTAATTTGCGAAACGAAACGGGCCAAGAGACGCAACAGAAAAAAGAGTAAGCCACAAAACAAAAATTAAAGCAAACGGCAGGCAGGCAGCAAATGGCAGCAAGAAAGTCGTCGCACAATCTCCACTCCAACATCAGCCAGAGAATCCTACTAAGCACAGTCTAAGCAGTCTAACTAAGCAGAACTAGGTGCCGACTAACCGACTAACCTAGTAAGCGAACCCGCTGAACCACTAACCAGCAACGCATCAGGCCACCGTCGAAGCCAATCAAGAATCGACGAGCGAGCGATCGATCGATCGATCGATCTGTTGGCGATTGTCATACACTTTTGGCGGTGCCCTAAACCAAAGACACTCACACACACACACTCACACGCGCCCATAAATAAACACACGCACACCGCACACGTCTGCATCGCCTCGGACTGACACAATTTCCTCGGGCGTAAAGAATAAAAAGAATTCAAATTTTTGGTGCGTCGCTCTGGCCCGTTGCTGCTTGAGTGTTTTACTTTTTTGTATTTTTTCCATTTAGAAAGTTGTTTCCATTTCACATATTTGGCTAAAACACACACACACACACACGCACACAGAAATAAACTTATATTAAAATTCCATTTTCGATTTTATTTCGTTTTCTTCTTTACGGTTTTTTTGTGTGTCTTTTGTTTTATTATTAATTTTGAACGAGATTGAGCGCTCAGGAAATCAGCTCAGATTTGATGTGCCTTGTGTTCCACTCTGTGACTCTTTACACTGCTCTAATATGCACTTTTCCTGCCTCTTTCCACACTGCTCTAATCTGCAGTTCTCCTGCCTCTTCTTATTGCTCTAACCCGCAGTTGTTGCTGCTTCAAATTCCTGTTGCCAGAACCACAATTTCCACTCCACTTTAAGCAACTAATTTTCACTTTTCTATTGGGGGAAGTTGCTTTAGCATTTGCTCGTGGGTTTGCTCTTCCGTTTCACTGATTTAGCTAGCTGATTTTTCACACTTTTCGCACGCACCTTAATTGACAGATTTTCTACTTTGCAACACTTCTTGTTGGACTGCTGGCTGGGCTGACTGCTCGGCATTCACCTTCACTTGGGCTGCTGGCCGACTTCTTCCGCTTGCAATGTCTTAGCGCTTTCAACACTCGCCGCAGACTGATTTGTTGGCTGCCTCAGCAGCGGTGGCTTTCTGCTGCTGATGCTACGGTTGCTGCCTCTGCGGCTGCGGCTGCCTCTGCTTCTGCTACTGCTACTGCTGCCAACTCTGTTAACGTTCTGGACCGGGACGTGTTTTGTGCATTGAAAATTGTCTTTCTGGCTAATTGCTTTTGTTGCTGCTGGTTCGCAGCAGTTCGTTGAACCGTTAGCTGGCTTCGATTTGCATTTTGCAAACTGCTGCCAATGGGTATTATGCGGAAACTAAACCGAACCATCAGGTCCACTCACTCACCCGCCAAGTTCGTGTCTTAAGTCATTTTTTATTTTTGGCAAAACATTCGCAGTGGGTCAGGAAGCAAATGCCCGTAAACGGAAGGACGCTAAAATATATTTTAAATATTTAAACGGCTTTCTATTGGCTTCATTAGCCGTGGCAAAACATTACGGAGGAGCCAACCCGCCCGGGGGTCAAGGAAAATTAATTTCACAGGCAGACAGCACTTTCGTTTTCCACTTGCTGTGGCCCTCGGTGGCAACTTTTGGGCTGGCTGTTAGCGCCTGCCGCCTCTTGGGCACAGCTTGCACAGTGGCACAAACACACACGAAATGCAGCAAAGAAAAATGTGGCAAGAAAATACATTTTCGCTGGAGTCTTTTGAGCCACTGTCCAGTGTTCATGCCACTGCGGGTATTGCCACTCTGCGCTGCTTCGCTTCGCTGCTGTGCGCTTTTATTGTTATTTCTTCATCATTGGTTAAAATGATTAACCATCCAGCAGCAAAGTGCTGCTGCAGGGCGGGCAGTTCCACTTTCAATTGCCACTTTGGCCAGAGCATTTTTCTTCACACTTTAGTTGGTAATCACAGCGCCAAAACGGCTTTGGCTTTGGCATTTAGCTCTTAGCTTTAAGCCCCGATTTCCATTTCACACGCAATGCGTTCCACGTTTTAAACGCATTTTATCTTAATGTCCATTACCGCATCGTTGCCAGTGTGTTTTATGGCAGCGTCATCAATCAGTCCGACCGGCCCCCAAACTGTCGTTGCCAGCAGCATCCATCCAACTCCAGACACACACAATTTTGCATGCCGAGATCTTTCCGCTATCGGCCATCAACCGCATGCATTTGGCTAATTTGCACATTGCATTTTTTATTTATTTATTTACTTTTTCACTGCCTGTAGCATGTGTTCCGGTTGAGCAGCGGGCACAGTGACCACACTGACCACTGGCGCTGCAACTGCAAAGTGGATGACCTTTTGCCACAAAACACAACCTTTTGGTGGGAGTTTTGACATTGACAATGATGGGTTTTTTGCTTTTTTCGGTGTGTTGCACCACATATGTACTAAAATGGAGGTGTCTATGCATAAATACACGTTTTAAACCCATGCAGCCCATGCACACCTATTCCAGTTTTCCCAGCTGCCGCAGCAAGGTCTTATTTTAAATAATTTGATATGAATAATTTTGATATGGTTGAAATATGCTAAAGATGCCAGACAAGCCCTTAAGCGCATAAATACTTGAAAAATATATCAATTTATGTGTCATTTGATGTCTCTTATGGCCAGTAACGACATCTACAAGCGAATGATGGTGGATCATTATTTGTGTATTTTCCTACACCTCTTTGAATAAACCGCGCAATCAAATGGAATCAGTGAACCGAACTGGCACTGGCAGCAGAGTTGCCAGATGTGTGCAGATTGTTGGGAACTTAACGCTGAGACAAAGTTGCCAGATTTGTGTATAAATGTAAAACGGAGCAGCAGCTGCTGTGTTCAGCTTAGTTGTATTTATTTATCAGCCTTTGGGAATTCTTATATTCCACGACTGTGACTTGAAATCTTTTTCAACTCATGCAAATTAAATTTTCAATCACATTTCAAATATGCACAGCAACTTTTCTCCCTGTATACTCCATCTGCGAATGTTTTTTACGGCTTCTTAATTTATTCCTGCTCATGGAAGGGGCTCATGGTATAATAGGGCATGCCTGTGGCTGCATTAAATATTAAGAAAATCATTCAGAGAATTTCCATACGAACAGCAAACAATATAAATATACAGCCATAATAATATCTTCTTGATATTTATTGAAACGAACAAAAGCACACAACAGACAACTGGTGTAATAATCATAATTATATTTCGTGTTTAATTAATTTATTTGTACAATTCTATAGCTATATACAACATACATACACAGACATAATGTAATTACATACATAATTCGTATGCGATAACCAATAATAATATTACACAACTGTTGGTAGCCCTAAAGTTTATTCTGGTTGTTGTTTTTTGTCCTCTCGTGGGGTGCAGTCTAACAATAGCTCAACGTGAAGATGGGAAAATGTTTTAGATACAGACTAGAAGAACTAAGTCTAGGCCTAGGGATAGCAGCGCCATTCATTAAATTAATCGCATAAATATTTACAATGAAAGAAAAGGAAACTCTCTCCCTGCAGTGGAAATGGGGGGAAAATAGATGTGTTAAAATATTTAAATATATACGCATAAAATACAACAATAATACTGCTCGGACAAGCACGCCAAAAGTTAACAGAATTTCGTATCAAGAGTGCAGAGAGAGTCGAGATTTTGATGGTGGGAATACAGTGTAGGAGGAGGGATAGTTGGGGGTATGCTTTCAGTCAGCGTCATATTTCACATTCAAACTCCGATATGCGATGATTAAAGTACACCACACCATGCTCGAGATCCTCACTGAAGCCGCTCACATCCATGTAGTCGGAGGCAGCCGAATCATCGTCCACCCATTTGTGCAGCGATCGGGTGATCTCCAGCCGGGACTGTGCGAATGAGGGTCGCATGTGTGGATCCTTGTGCCAGCAGCGGGACATTAAATTGTAGAACTCGTGGCGGCTCTCCTTGGGCAGCTCGGGACGCAGACCCTGAGGCACGCGGCGTATCACTTCGCGGCCCGTTTGCTGGGAGTACGGCGTGGAACCTGCACAGAATATAGCACAAGATTTAGCACTAGAAAATGTTATAGAAAGCTTAAAGTTGCCATACCCAAAGTGGCAATCTCCCAGAGGACAATGCCAAAGGCCCAAATGTCCGTTTCGGTGGTGAACATGTGATACTGGAGACTCTCGGGCGCCATCCAGCGTATGGGCAGCGCGTGCCGCTTGCCAATTGTGTCATGGCCATGCGAGGACTTCTTCTCCGACTGATGCTCCTTCGAGCAGTGGCCATGCTGCCCCTGGTGGTGCCCCGTGTTGCCAAAGGTGTGCTGCCAGTGCTGCAGAATGTAGCGACTGCCAAAATCAAACTTAAATTTCAACGCATTGCTGCGGAGTATATCATTCGCAGCATTCTTCTCCTGCTCCTTGCGCATGCGCTCCGCATCCAGATCAATGGACATGCCAAAATCACAAATCTTGCACATGCCATTGTGATCGAGGAGCACATTGCGAGCGGCCAAGTCGCGATGAACAATCTGCAGATGGAGAAGAGACACAGCTTTAGTATTTGCCATCGATTGTTGTTGGTTTTGTCTTACCCTACGCCCTGCTATGTACTCCATGCCGCAGGCAATGTCCAGCGCAAAGCCCGCCAGTGTGCGCGGCGACAGTGGCGCCAAGCTGCGTCCCCCAGGCACAGAGGCGGGCAGAATATTTGTCGCACTGCGCGCAGCTCTCAAGAGCGACAGCAGACGGCCACGCATGGCATACTCCATGATCAGCATGTGGGGTTCTGTCCAAGAAAAGACACAAATTTAATAGGAAACCAATCAGTATAGGCCAAGTTTTCTTACCACTCTCCACGCAGGCGCCCAGCAGTGTCACCACATTCTGATGGGAGCCGAGTTTCCGCATAATGTTTGCCTCATCCTTGAGGCTCACCTGGGCGCTGCAGGCGCGTATTGTCTTGACGGCCACAATGCGTGTGGCGCCAAAGTGGCCGCTGAGATCATCCGCCTCCGCTTTCCACACCTGTCCAAAGTTGCCCTCGCCGAGCAGGCTCTTCAGGCGTATGTTGCTGCGCTCAAAGTCCTGATACTCGCTGGCCAGCGATGTCTTGTCATCCATCGAGTAGCGATTGTGATTGGCATCCCGCAATGGCATGGCCTGATGTTGCACCTGATGATGGTGTTGCTGCTGCTGCTGCTGCTGTTGTTGGTGGTGCTGATGATGATGATCCACCTCGTCCTCCTCCTCGTCCAGCTGGTACTTGGAGTCCACCTTCTTCACCGGACTAATGGGCTGCTGGTCCGTGATGCACACATCAAAGACCTCGCCATGCTTCTTGGCCCTGCGTCGCACCACATAATTGCGCACCAGGTAGAGGATGATGGCTGCCAGGGGTATGACGCCCACCGCCACCAGCACCAGCGTGACGAGATTCATGCGCCGCAGCTCCAGATCCACATCCCGCTCATTGGAAATCACAATTGTGGAGCTTATGTCCAGCTGCGGTGTGGCAGAGGATGAGGATTCCACCACACCAATGTACACATTAGCGGGAAGAGTTTCCGCTGCTGCTGGTGAGGTGGTGCTGCTGCTGCTGGTGGTTGTCCACGGATGCACTGTGGAACGCACCGAAGTCAGCACTGTGGTGCGCAGAATCTTCGGACTGGAGTCCGTGGTGTGCGCCAGCTGTGTGTGGTGTGTGGTGCGTGGCGTGACACCACAATCGGAGGTGTTGTTGCAGAAGATTATCAAATTATTTTGATCCTCAATGTTGATCTCTTGTGTGAGTGCGGGACCCAAGGCGCGTATCAGCTCCGTGTCCTTCTCGATGATGCTCTTGCGCTTGGGCGTGGTTGAGATGGTTGGGATGCTTGTGGTGCTCGTTGTGGTGCTGGGAGTGCTGCTTGTGGTGCTGCTGGTTGTTGTTGTCTTTGCTGTTGTAGTGGTGGTTGCTTTTGTGCTTGTTCTTCTGGTTGTGGTGCTGGGTGCCTGAGTGGTGGTTGTGGGCTTGGCTGTGGTGGTGCTTGTGGTGGTGCTGCTGGTGGTTGCCTCTGTTTGCACTTCTGCCTGCCCCATCGTTGTATCCTCCTCCGCGCTCAGCACTGTAATAATGAGCGGCGTTGAGGAGGAGGAAGCGGGCGGCACCACCTTGACTGGCACCACCCTGCGCACCGGAGCTCCCTTGGCCAGCTCCGTTTCTGTCTGCAGTCCCGCTGTGGGTCGCCCCGAGCCCACATAACGCGTGCGACTCACTGGCGCTGCAACCACAGCAGCAGCTGCAGGTGGTGGTGGGTCAACCGCTGCGGCTATGCCACGTTCCCGCATGTGATATTTGTAGCGGCTGCGACTGCGCTCCACTGCGGTCAGCGGACGTCGGGTGGACACCGTGGGTCTGCTGGTGGGGCTGGGGGTGGTGCTTTGAGCCACTGAAACTTCCAGCACACGCGGATGCTCGTCGTCGCCTTCGGCTGCCTTGATGGTGAGTCCAGCGGGTCGTATTGGCGGCAACTTGGCACCGAAATAAACGTACGGCTTCAGCTCATCGTCCTCCTCATCGTCGTCCTGCTCCTCCATGGATGTGGCCTTGCCACGCACCGTGGGCTTGGTGCCAGCTGCAATGTGGTTCAGCGTGTCGTTCTGCTCCTTGGCCACCACAAAGAGCCCGTGCGAGGACTCATCGCTGAAGAGAATCTCGTTGGTGTCGCGATCCGCGGAGCCTCCTGCCGCTGCTCCTCCACCGCCCACCTTCATGTGGGATGCCTTGGGCAGCGCCGCGGAACTGTTCCCCGCCGCACGCTGCTGCTCCATGGTGCCCGCCATGGCCATGCGAGTGAAGTTGGCGCACTGCCGCATGCAGCTGGCTGTGGTGCGGCGCGTAAAGTTCTTGGTGCAATTCCTGATGCACACGGAACGCGGATCGCTCGGGGACTTGGAGGTGCTCTCCACAGCAGCAGCAGCAGCAGCCGCCGCTGCTCCCGCTTGGGCCATGCCACTGCGCCCTGTGGTGCCGCCGAGTCGGGTGCGAAAGCCACCTCTATGCAGCGCCGTGCGCCTCGCAGCCAGCACATTCATCAGCTTGCGCTCCCGATCCTGTGCCGAGTTGAGGGGCGGCGCCGGTGAGGGCCGATTGGCGCCCGAGGGTCGATACGTTGTGGGCTTATCCCCGACAGCATCTGCAAAGGGTAAGAGGAGAGCGGAGAGCGGAGAGGGGTGAGATATGAGTGCGATTTATGCATAAATTTCCATTCTCAACGACAGATCGTGACAAAATATTGGAAAAACAATCAGCCAGAGTCAACAACAAAGGCACGAAACGAGTTTGGAATGCGATCTTTTGGCTCGATCTAAGGGGGGGGGCAGCAGCTCAGCATCTCAGGCTCTATTTGCGCATCTTGTGGCCCACTCTTAAGCAGCTCTGAAATGCCACAAAACTGCTCCAAGTTTCCCCATCCCAGACTCTTGTTTGCCGCCCACTAATTAGTCGCAGAACTTGTGTTCTAGGCGCCTCGGGGCAGCCAGCTGCACAATTGTGCAAGGGGCCTAATTCCATTGACGACCGCCGCCTCACAGGCCTGACCCATGAATCAGTTTGCAAAACAATTACAAGGCGGCCGAGTCTCCGCAGCTTGCACAATTGTTTCATTTTCACGTTGCCAAAAACAATTCCAAATGGAAAACGCGGCTGTCGCTGGCTGCTGCTTTTCACAAACATTTAGTTCATTGGCTTTGCAGTTTGGGCCAAGGCCAACGCAGCGTCTAGAACAAGTTGCAGATGCCGCTGACTGTGTCGCTGTCGCCGTCGCTGTCTCTGACTCTGCCACTGCCACTGCTTTTTGGCCACTTGCTTGCTTTTTTGACTGCATAACTAACTGGCTTCTCCCAGCAGCGCGACTAACACTGAGTTGCTGAGCGATTTGTCTTTGTTTTGGGCAAGTTGTTTGCTCGTTTGTTCGTTTATTTTCCATATTGTACAACACTGTGCGCCCCATTTGGGCGTCTCGTCACGTTGCCTGGCTACAATGAAACGACAGAGGCCAGTAAACAGTCCACAGTCCACAGTCCACAGTCCAACGGTTGCCATTTTCAGACAGGGACTAGGCTTTGGCTTTGTGCTCTAACTCAAAGGTGACTTAACTAAAGGGTGGAATTTATCCACTATTCATAGAAGAAATTCCATCAGACCTTGAGCTAAAAAAAGGTTAAGCCAAAGGAACATTCTTCCATTTATCGCTTCTCCAAAGAGTATTCCCCATTCGCTGTCTTTTCTTTGTGCTTTCTGCCTGTGCGACTTCTTGGCATTAGCCATGCTGCTGCTGCTGCTGCTGCTGCTGCTGCTGCTGCTTGTGGCCATCGTCTCTCCATGGCATGCGTTGTGGAATTTTAATTTGATTTTGGTCATACAATACAGCCAGCTCTACGACTTATGCGACTGCGACTGCGACTCCACAGACTTAGTTCGGGCCAAGCGAACCGAACCGAACCGAAAAGCCAAAAACCACAAACAAAGCAAAGGCCCAAATGGACAGCAGAAAACAGTTTGGTTCTCCACCTCCCCCTGGGCTGGCATTGCGATGTTCCAAAAAGCAAACAGCCAGCTGGGTTTCGGAGTGTTTAATTCTAATTTTTCAGCACACACAAAAAATGCTTACATAATGCCCCACAAATTGTGCAGCTTTTGGGCAGGTGATTAATTGTGTCAGACAGAGAGAGGAAGAGAGAGAGAACCAGCAGCAAAACGGATGCGATGGCATGACTAATGCGCAGCTTCTACATTTCGTTTCTTTCGGTAATCGAACTCTGGCCACAGCCCGAGGCATAGCCAGAGCCAGAGCCAGAGCCAGAGACAATAGCCCCACCCCGGGCCAAAAAATAACATTCTGTCCAAAAAGGCAAGTTTATTTGGCAGCTAATGAGGCATCACTGCGGCCAAAAGCGCACAATGCCCCATCAAGGTAGCAGTCTGCTGCTCCTCCTCCTGCTCCCCCTTAATTACACAGTGCCATAGAAAATGTCCGAATGGATCACAAAAATAAACTACAAGTACGATGGATAGATGGGCGAGTGGATAAATACGAGTATGAATACATGTTTGAGTACTCGTCCGAGTATGGGTATTAGCGCTTGAATGAATCGCATGTCTTGGGCTTTTGTTTAGAACTTTTAATTAAAAATAAATTACTGACACGAGTGGGGGCAGCAGCAGCAGAAAGAGACGCAGCTGACTTTGCAGTTTGTTTCATTTGCTAATTGACAAGCACAACACACACAAACACACACACACACACCATTTCATTAGAGCTAGCCAAATGCACTGCTGCTGCTGACAGCTGTGTTTGATTCGATTGTCTAAACTTATTTAATGGTGTCACACACACTCGACTTCCCAAGTTATGAAATAATCATTCAATGAGCGGAACATAATCATGCGACTGTGACACAAATGTCAATCATACGCAACGCTGCACAGGCCGCCAAAAATGATACAAAGACAAAGGCACAAATTGACAGCTTCAATTTCGAAATATATCCGTTCAAATATTAAGAATGGAAATCATTGAATGCAGAATTATGGCTGAAGCATCCGTTTCAATGGCCAACAAATGGCTTAAATTATAGTCCGCTATGGCAGCCAATTAGTTAGTCCGAGTATCTGCTTATTAGAGTCACTTTTGATGATGCAGGCAGGAAGTCGTGCATTTATCTAATGGTAAACGGCAGGCACACTCCTAGTTTTAGTGTTTCTTGTTTATTATTTTATTTAAGCTTTAAACAGCAGTCAAGAGTGCCATAAAAAAGTGATAAAAGGCCAGAAAATCAATTGATTTTCAGTTCATAAAAATGGTTACGGATGCATGGTTTACGGTTCGAGCTGCATTAACTAACAATTAAACGTGTCTTAAAGGCACAGACTCCCATCAGCTAGGAGTTGGCCTGGCAACACTGCAACGCTCCGCTTTGCTAGTGACCTTGAAGCGGCTCTTTCTCTCTGCTATTTCCTGGCCAGCAGCGGAAAGAAAGTAATCCAAGAAATGCAAATCGAATCGCTGAAAACTTTCATTAATTCGTTGGCACTAATTCACGCGGCACAGCCTCACTTTTGCTTTCTGGTTTGAACACAAACACACAAACACAGAGACAGAGAGTCACTCCAGCAGTTCATAAATAAAATTTTGTTTAAATGCCGCCTTGGCAGCAACAGCAACAGCAACAGCAACAACAATACAACTTTCTCCGCTTTCGTTGCAGTATTTCTTGGCTCTGCTCTTTTTTCTCGCTTTCGTTTGCAGCGCTGCAGTGCTGCACCCTAAATAAATGTACGAACGAACCTCCACTGGCCCACGTTCATGGCTAAAACGTGTTTTTGGTCATTGTGTGTGTTGCCAGAGGCAGAGCTCATGCAACAGAGCCGCCAATCGAAAGCATTTCTAATGTGAAATCGAATCGCATGCAACGCAAAAATGGCAAACGGAAAATGCCAAAAAATCGAATGCCTGCGATGCCAGCAACCATAACGAGCGAGAGAGAGAGAGAGAGAGAGAAATTCCGGACAGCGGGGGTGTAGGCGATGCGAGGGAGTTTCTTCCCGTTAATGGTGGTCCAAGGAGTCGAGTCAGGCGACATTTTAGCCATAGAAGGAGCCACAGGCAGCCACAGGCAGCCACAGCCAGCTTCATCCATCTGCAGAGCTGCACTTGTGGGTGCCCAGCGACGAATGCAGGAAGTGCATTGCGATGCCTGTGACGACGCGAGAAAGCCAAAAGAAATGCCAAAGGTACACTGTGGTACTGCCAACAGTTAAAGGAAAAGTCAAGGAAAAGCCATGGCAAAAGCCATCGCGGATGTCAATGCGGAAATGCAACTAAAAAGCTGAAGTTGTCGTGAAATGTGCCTCTAAATGAAATCGTTTTGGCACTGTCTCGGGCACTTTGAGTTTTAGCTGCAAGTTTTGGTTTTACTTTTAGATTTCAGTTTCAGTTTTAGTTTCCTGATGGTGCTGTTAACCCTTGGCTGACAAACTGCTGACGCCCCAAAAGCACTCAACGAGTGGCACTCTGGCTGGGGGAGCCTCTGGTCTGACCTTTTAATAGCGCAATTACGTAGACCGATTTCCACCTTGTGGCAGGCCCTCACACAAAAGATTTATATATATATAATAAACCCCCACCCCACATGTTAAATGTTGGATAATTGCTAAGTTTTGTTTTTGTTTTTTGTATTTTCATGATTTTTTTCGTTTCGTTAGTTTTGTTTTTCCTCCTGCGCTTTTTTGCTGCTGCTGCTGCCATTGTGCGCGGCTTCCGTTTTTTTGTGCTTCTATGGCTGGAAAAGTTTTTCAATACTCGTCGTGGAGTAGCCGTGCATTGAGGCGTTGCAAATGGCTGTGGGGCGTGGCAGATGTTCATCATCATCAGAGGCAGAGGAAGAGGCAGAGGCAGCTCCCAGCTTTTTTCTTTACGCAATGCACTGCCATCATTAGTTTCGGCCACTTTCTTTTGTCCCAACGGATTTTTAATTAAGTTCCCCACTAAATCATCTTCGTTGCGTAACCCACGTAAACCTTTCCACTCACACACACACACAGTTGTGGGTCAGCATTCGGATTATTAATCACAACATAAAAAGCAGTGGAAATTAGCCAAATGATGGAACTGCTGGAGCACCACCCCAGGGCAACCCGAAAAAGGGTTCATTAAACCGCAGACAGCGAACACTTTTTCGCAATGAAACTTAATGAAAAGGAAATTATAAACATTTTATATAAAAACCAAAATCCAAATTGAAATTCACCGCGAAAACACACACAAATTGCGCGTTTTATTTCCTTTTCCTAGGCAGCACTTAAAAAAAAAAACCACAACTGGGAATGCGAAATGGAAATGGCAACGCGGTCTTCAAATTAAATTCAATTGAAAACCAAAAAATAATAATATTAAAAAAAAGGAATGTAAATTTGTAGGAAATAAAGTGAAATGTGGTTGATTATAATATGACTAAATTAGTTTTTAATATGTAATACTCATTAGATGTGATTTTTGGGCAAAATAATTTGGCTTCAACTCGAATTTGGGTTATTTAGAGCGTGATCAACCCTTCGGCCTTTGGAAAATTAAATGAAACCAATTTAAATTTAGAAAAATATTAACAGAGCCGATAACGGCAGCGACTGGCCACAAAATTCTGCAAATTGGCAAATAAAATTTGACTTTATGTTTCGGAGTATTTATTTTTGGTTATTTTTTATTTATTCGTCGAATTCTTATTTTTCCATTTATCTTTAACGAAATGCTTGAACAAAATACTTTACATAATTATATGTAAATAATTCTTGGCCTTGCCAGATTCCGACTCCGACTCCGACTCTGACTGTGAAACAACTTCAACGATTAGTTCCGTGATGAAGATCTATTGTAAGAAATGAACCTACAGCCGTAAGCCGTGTTTACACATGTGTGTGAGAGGCCCCAGAGGCTCCATCAAATAATGAACAGAGCAAATATTTTGATTGAATATTTGTTATTACGAGTAGGCACACATCGAGAGCAGAGTCAAAGCAAAGTACGTAATACGGTAGGGCCCACAAAAGTAAAGTTAAACCTTCCCCACCGCTGGGCAACAATGATTCAACTGCTTTTTCCTACAAATCTTCAACCATTTCCCACATCGAATGCACGCCCCCATATTGCGTATACGCCTTGGTATCAGTGGCAGCTGCAGAAGACGCTGCCTGAATGCACTTGGCTGGCTGTCGGCCTGTCGGCATGTCGGCCTGACTGCCTGACTGGTTGGTTGCTGCGGTTTATACCTGACTTGGCCCGACTCTTTGTTGACTTTTTAGATTTACTCTTTGCGCTCTTCTTCTGCTCGAAAGCCGCCTGCTAAATGAGTGGAGGATTACGCAATTGGACGCACATGAGGGGTCTCTCCAAAACCAAAACCAAAACCAAAACCAACAAAAAATCGAAAAAAGAAACAGGTAAACGTAATGAGCACACCAGCAAAGCAGCAAGCAGCACCAGCCGTAAGACGAGAGGCGACCAAAACCACACCAATATTGATATTTTTCGGCTGAGGATTTCTTTGCTTGTGTTTTTTTTTCTCTCAAGTATTCGGGGCGACTCTCGAGTGTCCGGCAACGACACCTACAACATCGCCAGGCGATACAAAAATTGCATTTCGTAAGAGGCACAACGCAAAATATGCCCATTCATCGCACAATTTTTGATGTGCATAAATTAAAAATAATCAAAATGCATTAGTTAGCTCTGGGACTAAGAGCGGCCAAGACCCCAAGCCCAAGAAAAAGTGTTTATGTAATCCCCTTGCGCTGACATCTGGGGTCAGGCCATCAAACTGAAACTCTGATGAAGAAAACTATACAAAAATTCAGAGAGCCATAAAAAAAAAGGTTCATGAATAAAGATGCGGCAGTTGGGGGCGCACTTTTTGTGTCAACACTTTGCCAGCAAACGAAAACTGTGATCTATGTGCTGGAATGGGGCGGATTAACTACCCTTGGACCTCGCACTCCAGTCTAGGCCTAACACTTGAGGCAGCTGCTCAATGGAACTCCAATTCCAATTGGTAAAAAAAAAACTCAATTTCCATTTCGACCATCGCGACGCCCACGAGCGACCATTTTTGAACTTAATTGTTTATGAAAATACTTAATTGAAATAACAATTGCTTTAAGCATTCACTCACAAGTGTGAGGCAGGCACGAACAAAAGAGCCAGCCAGCCGCAGTCGGCCTGGTCTAATCAATCTTCGCACACAAACACTTGCAACACGAGTGCCAGTTCGCGGGGTACGGGCATATGAAAGGAAGGCTATCTTCACCTCGACATTTGCCCTTGCAGAACAGTTTCATATTTTCGTGCGATTGCAGCCGCAACCTGTGGATGGGTATCGCTAAAATTGTATCTTAACTATACATCCACGAGTATTTCTGTGTGCTGAGGGAAGGTTGCACATAATTAACATGTTCGATAAGTACTTTTGAAAGTAGTGCCATTTGTTAGCCCCCCTAAAACCAATTCAACTTTTTCTTTTAAATTGTGTAAAATTAATCAAAGTTATTAATGCGAAGGCGGAATATGGGATTTATATTTATTATTACGGCATTAACTTTAGTCCTTACAAGCGGTTGCCCTCTGTCTGAGCAACAATCTTTGATTTAAGAACGAATTTCTTTGCTTCCCCAATTTATTTTCCCTATATTTTCAGTGATTTTCAGAGCTAAAAACCTTTCCGTAAACCCCATTTTAAAGCCTCAACTTATCTATATTTTGGGCATTTATTTTGCCATGAAACATTCCCCTAAAGCTTTCCAGCCTTTCCCCTTTATGCTGCTGCCTCTTGTAACTGCTTCCTACATGCCATAAACCATTCTGGACAATCCCATAAAAGCCATTTCCTTTCGCTGCCCGCAGATGACAAACATTTTCTGGCCCACTTGAAATGCAAAAAGATTGCCCAATGCTAATGTGGTTGCGCCTCTTCTTCGGGCCACATTTGGCCTGGCCTGGCCGACTGCCTGGCTGGCTGGCCAATTGTTTTTTGTTTTTTTTTTTTGGCCAGCAACCTGAATGTTTCTTGTGTTGCCTGCCGTGTTGCACCGACAATTGTTGCTTCGTCTGCTGGCAGAGTTGGTCAATAATTGGCATAGATTTATTTTGGCTAGTTGGCAATTTTGTTTGAAGTGGAACTCAGGGGAGGTTGGGTGTTTGGTGTCTGGTGCCTGGTGTGTCCCGTATGCATATGCTGCATGACTGGAAAAACTTACCCACATCGCTGGGGCTTAAAATTTCCGCTGAATTTCGGCTTTCCCCGTCACTGGCGGCGGCTGTGGCTGCCGCTGCTGCTGCTGTCACATTTTGTTGCACTCCCAGTTGTAGTTGCCTGGGCTCTCGGCCGCCTCCCTCTGCTGGCTGTCTAATTGCACCATTTGTTGCATTCGTCTGCGTTTCACTTACTGTCGTCGATGTTGCTGCTGCTGCTGCTGCTGCTGCTTGTGCCTCAGCCACCAACAATGCCACCAAAAACAACAACCAGCAACGGCAAAATGATTCATTGCTTCGATGAATTTTCATCGTAAGCCAAGCATACAAATAAATATCCCAAAATTATAGTTGGCTTTCGGTTTTTGCTCTGCTTTTGCTTTGCTGTTTTGTTGTGTTTTTCTTTTGTTGTTGTTGTTGATTGTTTTCTCTGCCTTGCTGATTTTCTATCTGGTTTTCTATTGTTCGTTTTGCACACACACACACACACACACGCTGGTGAGGATTTTCCAATTTTTCCACAATTGTCTTGTAGAATGGAGCTGCTTCTCCGACTCCGACTCCGCCTCCTCCACCACCAACCGCTGCTGCTGCTGCTGCTGCTGCTCAGCTTCTCCCCTTTCTCTGCTGTTGCAGTTGCTGCTGCTGCTGTTGCTGTTGCGTGCAATAATTCAAGTCGTGCTGTCGACTTATCTGTGCTGCTGCTTTGGGAAATCGTACGCCTGGCCGTTGCTGCTGCAAAATGTCGGAAGAGAAGAGCAGGGAGATCGCAATACGTTAGTGAAATGTCGCTGATTGGTACACAAATAGTTTCAAACGCAAAGAAATGGGAAATCATTGGCATAGAAAATCTATTTCATGGAGTAAGCTAAACGGAAGTTAAAAGTTAAATAAGTGTGGGGTTAAATGTGCCTAAAATTGGGAGGATTTCATAACAAATGAGAAATTTAAATGAATATACAAATATAAATGTAAATGAATGCAACAATTTGGAGCTAATTTCCTTAACAAATAGTCAGCATTCATTTATTTATGCCACTGTCAGTCATCGAAAGAGCACAGAATAATCGTTAGCATCAAATAATCTAGCACCTAATCGAAAAACAATCGAATAATCACAACAATTCGGTAAGCTATTTAATTATTATATTATTCAATCCGCTTCTAACTTTACTCTCTACATTACAACATATTTTTTGTCTCCCATTTATTAGCCTGCTTAAGGTGCACTGACCACTTAGGGTCAGATTTATGTTGCTTCCATGTACACACATGTTTGCCAGACAAGCGGACAAGCCAGAGATAACCCACAGCAGCCGGCACTGGGGAAGGTCCCCCGCACATCACATATATGTAAGCCGCTTGGAGCGACGTACTGACGGATCGGCGGCCATCACGGAGGCAGCCAAGTCAGCCATCAATTATAATTCGCGGTAAGTAAGAGTGATAACTGAGGTCGCCGATCCGATCCAAGCCTGATCCAAAGTAACAGCCACAGCGGTTCAATAAAATCCCAAAGCCGAGGCAACGCATGCATACGCCCTGTTGTACACACACACACACACTCGAGAGAGAGAGGTTTGACAATCGTTAGACCATTAAAACATAAGCAACTATGAATTTTTTATGGCTATGTGTGTCATTGCCTGTTGGGGGAATCAATTAAAACACATCGCCGTCGTTGCAAAGGAGAAGCCCAAGTGGCTTTTGGGGGCCTTTGTGGCTTGCGCAAAATTACGTTGACAATTTCACTCGATTTGGTATGCGGCATAAACGGCACTGGCTACCATTCAGTGGGTGCGCCGGTGTGATTTTGCGTAATTTTTGAAAGAAAGAAACTCCACACACACCCAAGCTAGACAGACACATGGTGAGGAGCAGCATTTTCTATTCTATTCTTTGTCATGCTGATGAGCAGCCAAAGAACCTTTCTCGCAGATGAGCAAAGCGTAGAGACCAAAGTTCAATGCACGTTTTAGCCATAGACGACCGAAAGTTCTTGGCAGTTCCCATGATTAATTGAGGCAAGCAGGATGCCGCGGCTGTGCGGTGTAAGAAAAATCCAAATAAGAAAGAAATTTGCATGCGAGATGATTTCGGGGAGGGAACGATGATAATGATAACCATTTTATTTTTTATAAATTATATATCTGCATGTTTCACGTAATTCTAGCTATAATTTGGTGTTGCCTGGCGGCTCATTAAGTTCGCTCCCAGTTTAATTATGAGAAATGCCATTGACTCGCTTCATTCTCGGTTTCTCTTCTCATATATGTATGATTATGCTTGTATATATTTTTTGTGAATTTGTTATAACATCAGCGTTCTAAACTTAACAACCGCTCGAAGCGCGCAATAAGATTACAAACAAGTAAAAGGCTGAGCGACTGAGCGACTACCCATTGATGGTTCTACAGACAGGAGGGAGGGCTTAAAATCTGTACACAGTGTCGGATATGCGAGAATGGCCCCAAGCTACAGCTTAGAATCTTTTTCTTTGTGGCTGTCAAATAATACTTTCGAGTGGCCTTTACAATTGGATGGGCTCCAAAGTGGAACCACTCTGCGGTCTGTTTGTTTGTTTCGTTCGGTCTCTGGCGATGATTGATAAATTGACAAAATGAAGGAGTCCAAAATCGAAATAAATCTGTACATCCATTTGGCCACACTTGAGTGAGGGCCGAGGCGTGCGAAAGAATTTTTTCCTCCCTCTGCCACATCTCGACACCGCCCACACCAACTGCTCGTGCGATGTTGGGGTTTTGCTTGGTTTTGTTTCGTTGCTGGAGCCCTCTCTCTCTCTCTCTCTCTCTCTCTCTCTCTGTGCCATTGTGCTAAACAATGGCTTAAACTTGGCCACAGCTGATTAAACATGCAAATTGGCGCTTGGGAAATCGTGGACGAGCAGCGAACACGACACAGCCCGGCTAAAAATTGTTGTTTTTTTTTGTGTTTCGTTTATCACACGAGCGATTTTATCAGTCGTCTGTGGAGATCGCTGCGGATCGCATAAGACAAAACAAATGCAAATTTTACTGCCAGTTTCTGTGGCAATTCAATCCCTTCCCAATCCCAACTCCTCCTCCGATGTAAGTGCAAAATCACTTAGTGGGAGAGACGACACTTAAGAGTGGAGGCGTAATGCCATATTTAGCTTAGTTAGTTGGCTCCATAGATTTACTAGTATGTGTACTAGTCAATCGCTGGCATTCCTCATTGTTTGTTCGAGATGCAGGCAGGCAGGCGCCAATAAAGTCTCTCCCGGGAATGTCTGGCATGTCGTGGCGCTGCATCCCATCCATTATTAATGCGGTGTGGGTTAAGTAATTAGAAAGCATCCGGATAAGCAGTTTCTCTGGCTAATAATCGGCATGTAACACGGCCCAAAGGTCGGGCTTAACCAGCCAAGATCTGCCTGCCTGTGCTGGGAAAGGCGGCAATTACAAATTTTCATGCAACTTCCTATCGCACAAAATATAGACATTAAACTAATAAACTCATTAAAAATTAGTCGCAAAATGATTGCCCAGCGTGTTGTGTCTGTCAGCCATGAAGGCCCTGCCTGCCTGTCTGAGTTTTCTCTGAATGTTTTTTTATATTTTTTTGTTAATTCCAAGCCACGCATGACACACAAAATACACAATCGACAGAAGATGTCGTCAACATCCTCTTGCGGGTACATAATAAAATAATTATGTAGAATAAATATTAAGTAACTTTTGAGTGTGTGCGTATTTAATAATACAAATAGTGCATAATTTAGACATACTAAGTACAGGCAGCATTCAAGTCAAGTCGAGTCTCAATCCGAGACCGAGTCCAAGCCCCAGCGTCGTGCATTAGAATAATTAACCCTGAACCCAGGCGACGGCGGCGGCTTTGGCACTCACGTATTTTTATGAGAATATTTTACCTGTACTATGCATGTCCCCGCCCGCCTTTATTGTTGGCCCACACTCAATAATCGTTTGACTGGCGAATTTTTACACGTTTGATTCTCGGAATCATGGAATTCTCTCTATAGCCCTGCCTCAGTCTCCAACTCTGTGTGTGTAAAGTGAGCAAATATTTGGCTAGATTTTTTTGGGGTTTTCATAAGTGAATTTTTGCTAATAACTACGGGCAAACTTCAAGAAGCTTGGACTCTCCCCATGGGCCGCTACAACCACTTCCCCTGTTTGTGTTGCAAGAGTTTAAAAGGCGCTGAAAATTAATGGGGCAGCAGTTGAAAAGTGTTTTATAGCGGGGTAGCAGACGAAGCGGGATACGAATTTGATTGAAAATGACAGTTAACGTGTCGGAGCAGTCATTATGGCAAATTTGCAGTTTGCGGTCAGGCAGTGTGTGGATGGTGGAGAGTGTGGGGAGTGTGTGGAAAGTGCTCATGCTGATGTGGATGTGGATGTGGATGATGATGGGCAATTTGCGTGTGCGTTATGCAAAGGCTAAAGGAAAGCGCAAGTGACGGCCCCGAGGGAGAACGAGATGGAGAGACAGAGAGATAATTATAAGCTACGATTAGGTAACACTAAACACAAAACCAAACAAAATATTCATTTAATTGGTTAATCAACTGAAAATATTGATCTCGCACTCCCCAAGTGTCCTATGGCTAAGCAGTATAACAGCACTTATAACAGTAGGTGTAAAAGAAACGAAGACACAGAGAGAGAAGAGAGAGAGACAGAGAGAGAGAGGCAAACTCTCCTTGCTCTCTCATGCATGTGGGTGGAAGTGGAACAGGGTGTGCTCTTGGCAGCGCTCTCCCCGCTCTATGGCTCTCCCGCTCTCTTACGCTGTCACCCACCCTCTGCTGCAATTTGCGTATTCTTTTGTCAAGCTCAAGGCTCTCCCAGTCAGCCAAGCGGCTCTTTGTGTCTCTCGCTTTTTTTTTTTGTTGCACTTAAGGTGCCGCCCGTAGAGCCGAGCCGCGTGGGTGGATTTTGCTCAAGAGAAGTTTTTGCTTAAGCGGAGGCTGCGGCTGATCGTTTTGCCCATGCTGACCGATTTATTAGGAATTTCTAGACGCGCCCATGAGTCAGTCGCTCAGTTAAAAAAGGTAATTAAGCTAAGAAATACCCCATAAAAACACAACGCCCGTCAGTGGTTCGGTTGGTTGGTTGGTTGGTTGGTTGGTGGTAGTGTGCAGTTGCCCGCCAACTCGCTTAATTAGTGCAAAGTGCACGTGCCGCGCCCTCAGCACCATATGCCCTCCCAACACAGTACTCGTACCTTATCGTTTTCATAGGCAAATGTGTTTCATGCCACTGCAGTGAGTCACAAAGCAACAGCAATCACTGTTGCATAACGAAGACCCACAACTGGCAGCTAACTAGCGACTTAATGCTCCATTGGCGTCACATTAGCAGCTCCGTTAGCATCCATATCCAATGCAATTAATGCTGCTGCTGCTGCTGCTCCTCTCCGATACAGCGCGGCTGGCTCCGGGCGTCCGGTTACCAACACAACAGTTGATCCGTTTTCCATTTACCGGTTCGGTCGCGTCTCTTGGCTGTCCCTCGGTCTCTGTCCTATCTGTCTGATTTCCAATTGCCACTGTGTTATGGTTATGGTCAACGTTGCTGCGGCCAAACAACTTTTCAATTTCAGCTAAATGTTCACACAGTTTTCATTTTTGCATTCACTCTCTGTCTGTCTTGCTGTTCGTGTTTTTCCACAGGTTTACACGATTTATGATAAGTTTATTTTTAAATGTTAAACAAGCTGCCAACAATGCGCAGTGCAAAATTCTAGTTCTTCTAGCCACTGCGCAGTGTGGGCGTGGCAAAGCCAACTCCACAGTGACCCAAACTCTGAACCGGGCTAATGAGCACGACCCCTGGCCTTTGTCTTCCCTCCGGCTCAGACACATTAGCCACGCTCCAGTTATTTGCAACGATCGGTGGCAGTTGGCAAATTAGAACGGCAAGGTGATTCAATTTGCCCAGAGCGAGACCCAAAGCCCTAGCTTCGCACTCCGGTTCCAGCTGCAAATGCTCTACGGAGGTCAGCAGGAAAATATGAGCACCAACAACAACAACAAATGCATTGGCCATTAATAAGTTTATTGGCGGGTCTCGTAAAACCCCAGAAACCCAGAAACACGTACAGAACAAATAAGAACAATAACAACTAGCGACATGATTAAACCTGTTCTGCGACAAGTGCGCCTTGGTACGCGACTGTCCATGTCCATTACAGTTAGGAGACATGGCCACAGCAGAATGCAGAGACGCGAGAGCCAGGCCACAGTGGAACAAAGGTCCGCAAAGTTGTCAACAAAATTTCTAATCTTAATATTTTTTGTTCTCCTAGAAATTGTTAATGTTGCTCTCGCTCTTGCTGTGATTTTTCGCACTCTCTCAATCAATTAGCAAAAAAATAAAAGCAGAATTTAATCATCGCTTTCCTCTTTCTCTCTCTCTCTCTCTCTCTCAAGCACTTGTGAAATATCTTCAAATACATTTTAGAAATTCTTTGTGCCACTGTGCCACTCTGCAGTAGTATTTTGTGGCCTGGCCTGCTGCAACAGTTGGTTTTGCCTGGAACCGTTTTGTAGCTCTTTTTTGTTTTGTTTTGTGGGCCCGGTTTTGGTCTGTTTGTTTTTGTTGCTTTTTTACTGTTTTGTTATGTATTTTTTTGCATGTTGTTGCTTTTTTTTGGCAATTGCTCATTGATGTCTGTTTGCTTTTGGTTTAAAGTTTCGGCTGTGGCGGCACAGTTACACGCTTGCACTCTCCCGCTTTAAAGTTCAAAGGTGTCCCCAGAGTCTGTCTATCTGTTGGGATTGTTGTGTGTGTGTGTGTGTGTGTGTGTGTGTCGTGAGAACCAATCGATGTTGGATTTTTAGCCACCAATGCAGATGGTCAGTCCTTTGAGAGTGCTCTTAGATACTCCGATGTTGAAACTTACTTTAGCTGCCATTTGTGCATGCGCCAAGGGTGTCCGCTCAGGTGTCCGCCAAGTGCAGGGGCCTGGTCTGTTCGTGCACACGCATTCAGTGCAGACAGTTGGTCATTGTTTACTCTCTCCTTGGATCGCTCTCACTCTCTCTCTGACTAAGCCAAGCTTACGCGCTGCTCTATGCAAGCGTCGAAGCGGGACGACAATATGTAGGTGCCGAAAAAACAAGAAGACGATACCGACGATACTTCACTCCGCAACGTTGTTTTACATAAACTTAACCGATGCCGATACAGCTACAGATGCGAGTACAGCAATGCACTGCAAATGACAATGCTGGCTGTAATTAATTTCGCTTCAGGCCAAACAAATAATAACACAAATTTCGCATTTCATTTGGCTTCGCTTCATTCACAGCGAAATCGGGCCTGGTTTATTTATGCATTTGACCCGCTTTGTGGCTTTGTGACAAAACAACCGAAACAAACCGAAACGAGTTGCAACAATACGGGAGATTCGAAAGAACACGGCGCTGCTGCTGCTGCTGCTGCTGTTGTTGTTTTTCTTGGAATTTCGATTCTACGCAAAAAAAACTTGTTGCCCGTTTTGTTTATGATTTTTCTTTTGCACTTGCTTTCGGTTAATATTCTGGCACACACACACACACACACACAAACCAGCTTACACATACACACACTCTGATACGCACGGACCAGGCAAAGCTCTCTTGGCTAAGATACTCGTAAATTCGTAAATTTCGTGAAATTATCCAGTTGCGCCCGCGCTCTTTCAGCACCCACGACCTTTTTTTTTCTCTTACGGCGGCAATATCTCCATGAGCATATGGATGGATATTTTTCGTATTCAACGGAACTACTTTTCTGAATTCGGACCAGAATTCGACACTATTTCTGTTGTTACTTGTCCGCGGCCCGCTAAAAGATTGAGTTCCACAGTGCTTCCATTATTCCCACTGTACCACCACCCGACGGATGCGTCATGTTGCCCAATGCTACTGGCATGTTGCTGGTAATCCGTACACATGTTGCTAGTAAACCGGTTTACAGTCAAAGTTATTGTTGAGTTTAGACATTTCCATACCCCATGTGGTCCCTTTTTGAAACTGTTTAGCAATAAATGCGCCTGAAAGCATAATTAAATACTGAATGTGTTTTTTTAATCAATTTATTTAAAAAGACTCATATGATCATCATCGAAAATCTTTATACTCCATCATTTCTTTTCTAGGGTATTCGATTGCTGCCCAGCGTTGCTTTATTGAGAGAGAGAGAGAGCCTAACATCAGTCTCTGAGCGAGAGCTTCTCGAATATTTTATGCAAGAGAGCGGCTGATCTTTTAGTGTTGAGTAACACCGATCAATGGGCTTTCGACAAAGCGTTCTCTAGCGGAATCCACTGGTAACTACATAAACACAAAGATTTTGGCAGTTGTTAATTGAATTTATTGAAAAGTCCAGCTGTGCGATTAAAATATAAAACTAAATAATGTAAAAATATAATATAAATTCATATATTTCAGGTCAAGCAGGGCCTTAAATTTCAAATCATGGACAGTACTAGGGAAAACGCTATGCAAGCTGCCACAATTCAGATAAAATGTATGCACGCAGATGTATCAATAACAGCGATTTATCTCCCACCAAGATTCACAATAAAAGAACTCGATTTCAAAAACTTTTTCCAAGGACTGGGAGCAAAGTTTATCGTGGGAGGCGACTTCAATGCCAAACATCCATGGTGGGGATCCAGATTAACTAACCCGAAGGGATCGGAGTTATACAAATGCATACGAAACAATAACATAACGACTTTGTCAACTGGTGTGCCCACATACTGGCCAACTGATAGTCGAAAAATTCCAGATTTGATTGATTTCATAGTATTCTCTGGAATCCCACAATCACACATGCGAGTAATGGAGAGCTTTGACCTTAACTCAGATCATTCTCCAATAATAGCAACTTACAGCACAATAGCCCATATGTTGGAAAAGCCCTATAAAGTAATAACAGCCTCTACAGACATTAACGCATTTAAAAGCCATTTAGATTCAGCTATAAGCCTGGACATTCCGTTAAAAACAGGAGAGGAGATAGACTATGCAGTGGAGCTTTTCACAAATACAATTCATAATGCGAGCTACAGAAACACGAATCATGCTCTTAATCATCAACAACCAAACCAATTGAACCTTTCAACCGATCTTCGACAAAAAATACAAAATAAAAGGAATCTGCGAAAACGCTGGCAAGAAACTCACTACCCTGCTGACAAAAGATTATACAACAAGGCTGCATCTGAGCTTAGACAACTGCTGTCGAACTTACGCAATGAATCTCTAGCTGCGTATCTGAAAAACTTAGACCCTAATTCCAGCAACAATGAATACAACCTATGGAGGGCGACTAAATACCTAAAGAAACCAGCTAAAAGAAACATAAATATTCGCAAAAACAACGAAACTTGGTGTAGGTCTAATAATGAACAAGCGGAAGCATTTGCACAACATCTGCACTCTGTGTTTCAGCCAAACGATATAAATAATTATACAACAGAGACTGAAGTAGAAAAATTCCTTGAGTCACCCTGCCAAATGAGCTTGCCTATTAAAAGCATTAAATATGAAGAAGTTGTGACAGAAATCAAATGCTTGAACAATAAAAAAGCACCAGGCCCTGATAAAATAGACGGTATCACCCTAAAAAGTTTACCACCAAAATGCATTCGGTTTCTCACTCTTATATATAACGCGATTCTCAGACTAGACCACTTTCCAAGTCAATGGAAATGTGCAGAGATCGTTATGATCCTAAAACCAAACAAAATAGAAACGGAATTGACATCATACCGTCCCATTAGTCTGTTGACAATTTTCTCGAAAGTGTTTGAAAAAATACTATTGAAGAGAATGTTACCAATTTTAGACGAACTTTCCATCATTCCTGAATACCAATTCGGATTCAGGAGGGGT